CACGCTGATGAGCTTTCATCCACAAATGCGTATACACGCCAAATATGGATGGCTTCAATTTGTGTTTTTTAGTTTTTTCTCTGAATAGTAGAAAAACAAATGACCAGTGACAATGAATCTAAAGGTCATTTTCAAGGTCGTACGTCCTCTATGTGTACATGCAGTCTGAACTTTCTCGCTTTCTATTATCAAAAGTGTGAACCTAAGTCTCCTCCCCTCAATGCGTGTAATTATATATTGAGAGAATACATATCTAAGTGAAAGAACACATATTCCGATACTGTGCTCTATTTACTAACTTATTCAGTGTATTGTGCTTAAATATTATTCTATACACAACTGCGATGTTTAAACATTCAGACACTCAAAGACAAAATGTGGGTTCTGACCCTATTATCATGAGCTATAATGAATATAAAGGGAATTTTAGAGGACGTGAGAGTGCATGAAGTCTGACTAAACATTCTCCCATTCTCAACAGTCTGGACTTAACCCTGTATTTTACAATGTTCTCTTGCAATTCGTCGTGATCACTTGTCAAAAATAGGGTTATTTCGTGGGTTTTGATTATTTACATCTGCAAATTCGATGATATTGTTTGTATGTGGAGTAATTGTGTATTTGGGAATATCATTCTGAGCGGTAGAACAACTTTCAATGCTGGGTGCAGTTAAATGTCATGCGAATACCCTCTGTACCAAACCCTGTTAAACCCTTTGATACTTTTTCAATCCAGCATTTTCCACATTTTAATGTATTTATCTATTTTCCCCGAATTTTATACTGCATCCCTGTGACTCAGAGGGATAATTATACCCAGAAAGTTGTTTATACCATGTGAATAAACAATGTGGTATATTTATGTTACATAATTATTCGATTCAAGACTTTCGTCTCTCGTAGTTTGACATCTTGACCCAAAAAAGTCTCATATAATCCAAAATCAAAAGGTACAGGCGTGCATGGTCCGTATATTGCGAAATCTTATGTTTACACGTGTAAAGGATTGTACCTGATGCGTTCTGACTAGATTTACCTTTTTCCCTAATAACCTAATTTGAAATTATATCTATTGAGTATTGGCAAATTAGGAATAACACACCACAGAATCATTCCATGGAAGTTTGTGGGGTTGGTTCCTGACTAGGGAATATTGTACATTCCAGTATCTAAAAAAATGTAATAATGTCGGATGCAGGCAAGGATATACTATGCAGTGTTATCCAGTGTGTGTGTGTGTGTATATATATCATAGTTAAATTATTTTTATGTAAAAGAGATTCATAATCGGAACAATGCTCTTGAGCAATCCAGTGTCTGGCCATACCCTGTAAACTACCCCGTGCAAGCACGTTTCTAAACACAAAGCGAACTCTTTTGAGAGAGCTTTTCACAACAAGAGTCTTTCATAAGCAAATTGGTCAAATCACGAATGACACTGGAACGATACGGGTTTTAATTACGACATATCTAATTTATTGGAATATTATTATTAATTTATTGGCGACAGAAGACAGAAAGTAAATCCAGTTAAATGATGTCTTGACACTGATTGGCCAGACCTAATAATTATGGATATCATTGATCGCTATGAAATAGGATTGACCTGTTGTGAGTACACGACTTGTACTACGCACATTACATGTCTTCCAGTATTTCTCAGCTAATAATTAAATTGTGTTTTCGAAAGAGATAACATGATGCAAAAGCCATCGTCAATACATTTGTTAATAATTCAATAAACAGTCTATGTAAATTGTATTGTAAGAATAAGCATGAATTAGCGGAGCCGGATTAGGAATTGAAATCAGACTATACCAAATTAAATGATTTGATTTAAATTAAATTGTCAAATTAATATCGCAACTGGGACCAGGAAATCATTTTTCTTCAGATTCACTCGAGGAGTCTGACTCAAACACCCATGGAATCCAAACTCCGGTAGGGGGAGGAATAGCATCTGGGTCATCATCAGGATAAGTTGGCGGAGCAGACGCCGCACGGTATTCTTCCAATCTTTGTAATAGTTCTATGAAATTTCAGGATTTTCTTCACTGAAGTAGGCAGTCTCGTTGGGGTCCTCTGCGATGTTAAACAACCACACAAATTTACCAGGACTATCGGAAGGATTAACTGGTTCCTGTCCAGATTCAGGTCCAGGTGTCCATATCCCGACGCCTGAAAACAAATGAATACAACTCATTGTAATTTTTAAAATAGCTACAATTGGTACAAGTGGGAATAGTAATAATAAGTAATATGTACCTGGATTTCCTGTCAATAATTTCCAATCCCCAACTCTAATGGCGTCCATGATTGAGGTATCATATTCTTCAGTCCATTCGTCAGGCAAAGGGTCCTTGTTTTGCGGTGGTGGCTGTAACGGGTCTATGTTAAGAAGTATTGCCTTTCTAAGCGATGCTGTGCCCGTACTGTGTAATATATAACAATTAATCATAAAATATTCAAATACAAGTAGAAGGGAACCAATAGTTTTCCCAACAATCTTTATTACTTATTTGAAACCTCTGAGGTTGAGGTGTATCAGGATAAACGCTGTATAAATAGTATAATACTCAGCAATTGCGTACATCGCCAAATAGGATGAGGGGTTGATTCCAATAAATAAATACACAGATTAACCTACGTTATTATAACATATACCGTATTTGGTCTATTAGTGGCGCGTGCACTTCGTAAATGGCAGATGTGCATCTATTGTCAAAATAAGTCGCATTTTAATGATCCAGCGTACAATACATGTAAACCTTGACGTCTTATTTGAAACGTTTTGGAGAATGGTAATAGTCTGTGAATGGCGTAAGAGTTGATTCCATTAACAGTATAAAACACATAACTTGGAACCTATGCCGTATTAGCTCTATTTGTAGCACATGTCAGAGGACTATGGTCAAAAAGAGAATAATATTTTAATAAGCCAGTACACAATATATGTAAGTTTTGGTTCATTAGCGCTTCTATTAGAAAAGCTGCACAAATGTAAAATACCTGATAGATTCCCATTGGTCGAATCCATCCAATGGCTTGCTTTCCTCTGAATTGGAATCACTTCCATCGCTCGCTAAGCCCAGTAATGTAGGAAACCAATCGGTAATGTGCATCAGTTCTGTGTAGACAGTGCCTTTCATGTCTTCAGAGAAATCTGGACTATGTACAAATGCCAAACCCCGAACACCACCTTCATATAACGATTTCTTCTCACCCCGAAGAGGCAAATTGTTACCACCATGGGCTGGCAATCCACCATTGTCTGGAATTAAAGAATTAAATGGCAAATTCGTGTACTTAATTTTGCCAAAGCATATTTCACGAAAAACATCATTTTATTTGCAAGTTATATAAAATCGATCATCGGACTGCTTAGATCTGCTGATCGAATTAAAAAAAAATGTTTCTAGTGTGTTTTTCTCGTGTTAAATGGTGTTGCATACTCCACCATGAATAGTTTTCAATGCACCCACACAAGTGTTATCATATAAAATTGAGGTAGCATAACCATACGTTGGGTAATGATGCGAAGTCATAAGTATAACGATATTGCTTGGCTATCATTTGGCCGATAAAATCAAGTTCATCAATATGGCGTCCTTTACAAAAATGTAATTAATATTAACACGATTAACTTCAAAAATGGTAGCCCTATACTTTATATACTTAGCCTTCAAGTTTGTGTGGTAGATATAATGAGCCTGTGGTTAAATACGATAACGCTGTTAGAAAATGATCACAGATAACATCTATGTCACTTGTCTGATGACCTCAGGGTTTTTTGTTACACAGACCATAAGACTATCGGAATAACATATGTCAGGTTCCATAAGTTGAGCAGGATGTACCCACTTCAAAACACTTGACATTAATATATCTTTTTTTTACTGATTTGACTATATATTTGTCAGTTGTTTACATTTGTCCTATGAATTAGTCGATTTTTGTTCACAGATCTTTTACTTATTATCTTATCAGCTTTTTACTCAGGATTATTGAAAGTTACCATTTAAAAAAAATGATGGAAATGTTTAATATATGATTATTTTGATATTATTATTTTGGTATACAAATTCAATGAGCAATAATTCTCAAATTAAATATAAATAGTTGGAATTATATGTTATATCTGTGGAAATGTGTGGATTACCATGCAAATTTTGAAGGGAAAAAATCTATTACTTCATCGAGTGGTAGACACATTCGTTGAGCAGGCCTTATATTTCCGTGTA